TCCTGGGGGGTGGAGCCACATCGAAGCCCCGCCTCCTCGTGTGACGTCACAGGGCCACTTCCTGTCTCTCGCCTGTCACCGCAACGGCAGCCGCGTCCTGGACGCCATCTTGGCTTCCTGCTCCTCCCCCATGCGAGCCTCCATCGCCTCCGAGCTGGGTGAGCGACCCCAAAAGGGCCCGGCTTCCCTTCGGGATCCCTTTGTTCCTATGGAAAGGCCTTAAAAAAGCTGAGCTCTGCCCCTCATTGCAGCCCCCCAGCGCCGGGCGCTGCTCAGGGATCCCCACGGCCGCCATGTTGAGCATCGCCTCCAGCTGGAGCTCTTCCTGCGCAGCCGCAGCCAATGGGAGCAGCTCTGGGCGGCGCCCCGGGGGACGCTGGGAACGCTGCTGGAGGACTGAGGGCCACAGAGAGGAGCGGTGAGGGGATAGAGCGTCTGGAGCAGCGCCTGGGATTGGCCGGAGACCATAGAGAGCGGAGAACTCTCTTTTTCTTTGTTCCTGTGGTTTCCTGTTGGAGAACTGGCACTGTGATCATAGAGATGGTGGAGTTTTTTCTGTTCTCTGATTGGTTTCTGGAGGACTGACCTGACCGCTGGAGGTCTTGTAGTGTCTGTGGTGTGGAGGACTTGTGACCGTAGAGATGGTGGAGGACTTGAGATCATAGAGTTGGAGGTCTTGTGACTATAGAGAGAATGGAGGACTTGTGACTACAGAGACAGTGGAGGTCTCGCAGTCTTTATGATCAGCTGGAGCTGATTTATGACCATAGAGATGTAGGAGGACTGAACAGGATTGGATTCTGGAGTGTCTCCTCTGCGTGTGCCAACCATGGAGCTGCTGAAGGGCTGGCAGTTTTCTTTTTATACTTACGCGTTTTCTTTAATGAAATAAACTGTTTCTGGTTGTTTTTATTTTGCAAGGGAGGGGTCATGATTTCTCTCCTAAGCACCCCGAGGCGGTGATTGCGAGCAATGAATGGGAAACGCGCGGCGGAACCTTTTTCGCTCTCCTATTGGTCACCGCAGCCGTCCGTCACGCTCCATCTTTTCTGATTGGCTGAGCCGTCAGCTCCTCCTTTTCCGGCAAAATGGCGGCGCCCATGTGGGCACGGCGGTGGCTGTGGGGCGTGCGGGGCGAATGGAGACAGAAGGCAGGACGGGGGGGGTGGGGGGTCCTATGGGGTTTCTCTATGGGGTCTCTGTAGGGTCCCTACGGGTCCCTATGGGGTTTCTATGGGGTCCCTATGGGGTGCGGGGTTCTCTGGGGTTCCTTTGGGATCCCTATGGGGCTTTAAAGTGGGGTCTTTGTGCATCCCAAGCTCTTTCTATGGGGTCTGAAGGTCTGTACGGATCCCAAAGTCCTTATGGGATCCTTATGGAGTCTGTGTGGGTTTTGGGGGCCCTACGGTGTCGTTGTTCCCATACAGCATGATGGGGTTCGGCACCCCAAGGTGCTGCAGCTGCCCACAGCCTTGGGACGGGCGGCACAGAGCGTCCTACAGGAGGAAGGTATGGGGTTATGGGGGGCTATGGGGGGCTATGGGGAACTGTGGGGGTCTGTGCAGAGCTATGGGGAGCTATGGGGGTCTGTGGGGTGCTGTGGGGTCTGTGGGGCACTATGGCGTGCTATGGAGGTCTGTGAGGTGTTATGGGAGGCCATGGAGGGGCTATGGGGTGCTATAGGGCCAATCCTGCCCCCCATATCCCCAGGCTGGAGCCAGGAGCAGGCGAAGGTGCTGGGAAAGCAGCTTTGGGGTCACCGCCCCCCCGGTGAGTGACGCCATCAGTTGTGACGTCATAGGGCAGGTTGGGGGGGCGGTGATGTCATCACCCCCCACCCTCCCCCCCCAACCCCAAACCCACAGAGCTTTGGGGTGCAGAGGAGGCGCAGCAGAAGCCAGGAGCCAAAGTGAGGTGAGTACGGGGTCGTTGTGGGTCTTTATGGGGTCGTTGTGGGTCCCTGTGGGGTCACTGTGGGTCATTATGGGGTCCTACTGGGTCTTTATGGGGTGATTGTGGTTCTTTATGGGGTTGTTGTGGGTCTCTGTGGGGTCATTATAGGTCCTTATGAGGTCATTGTGGGGCTCTCTGTGGGGTTGATTTAGGCTCTGGGGTCTTTGGGGGTCTTTGTGGGGTCGTTATGGGTCACTGTTGGGTCACTGTGGATCCCTGTAGCGTCCCCGTGCCCCCTGCAACCCCATAACTGCTCCTATGGGGTTTTTGTAGGTCCTTATGATGTCTCTCAGTTTCTGTGGGGTCCTATGGGTCCCTATGGGGTCTCTGTGGGTCACAGTGCGCCCTGACCCTATAACTTCCCCTATAGGTACACAGCAGAACTGGCCCGTGCCTACCTGGCTGTGAGGTTGGAGCGAGACCACGTGGCTGTGGGGCGAGCACTGCGTGAGGTGGGAACCTTATAGGGTCCTTATGGGGTCCCTATGGGGTCTGTATGGGGCTGACAGCATCGTGCCCCACAGATCCAGCTCCGTGTCCCCACTTTTACCCCACAAACCATGTTGGATTTCGGCTCCGGGATCGGCACTGCCTGTTGGTGAGGGAAATGGGTTTATGGGATCCCAGTAGCACCCCCACAGACCCCATAGGACCCCACAGACCCCAATAGCACCCCATAGACCCCAATAGCACCCCTCAGATCTCAGCACCCCAAAGACCCCAATAGACACCCTTAGCACCCTCTGGGGCTGTAGGTTTTTGGGGGCCTTATAGATGCCACATCTGTACCTATAGGGCTGCCCACGAGTTGTGGGGTCACAGCTTACGTCAGTATCTGTGTGTGGGGTCATCCAGGGCCATGAGGGAGATGGGAGAGCAGCTGCGGCACGGTAATGGGGTCGGGGGGGGTTATGGGGTCAGAGGGGTCATGTGGGGGTCAAGGGGTGGTTATGGGGTGAAGGGGGGATAATGGGGTTAGGGGTAAGGGGATCAATGGGAGTAATGGGGCCAGGGGAGTAATGGGGTCAGGAGGATCCAATGGGGGTAACGGGGTTGGAGGGAAAATGGGGTCAGGGGGTGGTAGTGGGGTCAATGGGGATAATGGAGGGCAATGGAAGGGGGCGTGGCCTCACATTGGCCCCGCCCCC